GGAATGGATGTGCTGATATGACATTTAAATTAAGTGCGACAACTATAAAAAGTTGGGAGTTTTCAACTTCATCGACGAGTTTACGCGTAATATGAAAGGAACACTTTGTGGACGGACACAAATTCTGAAAGATAACTTGTTTTACAGTTAGTTTGAACCTAATCTCAAACTTTTCAATTACGTACTTCTAAACTACTGATCTCCACCCCAGTTTGAGACAGCGAAAACATACAATTTAGACAGAGAATCAAATTTTGCAGGTACTGTTTACTTCCAATGACCTATGTCAACCAACTGTTTCTATTCAAATTTTATAACACTGACAGTATAAGTTTTCGTAAATTATCGGGTTTGACCCGTTTCAAAGAGGGGGGAAGTATTAAAAATATACGGTTATGTATTAAAAATATACGGTTATGTGTTTCATGGCCATCTGAGTGCCATCTTCATTTGCCTTTCCTGATGCAATTGATTTGGCTCTCCACCTAAAGATGAATGGACAAGTATGCTCTCTGATTAGAAGACTGTGTGGTGAGACCGGTAAGAACCGCTGTAATATCCCATGCCATATATGTGCGGGGGAGTTTAGCTCAATTGTTAGACCGTCGGTTTGTCGTCGCGAAGGTCGTGATGTCGATCCGAGGCTTTCGCGGAGTCCCTCAGCCATGCCATTGTCCACTCCCTCTAGTTGAATGTGGGCATCAATGGCAGCGCACGAAAACGAGCAGTGGACTTCGTCGAATAACAGTCGAAGCATGCAGGTGTTTGTTGCCAGGTAACTCACGCAACATCGACGATTGCCAACTGCCCCAGATCCAGCTGGTATGAAAAAATAGGCTGGGCGTTACTACAGTACCAAGGCGATAGTTGCAAAACTTCTCCGGAGTGCAGCGCTTCAAGTATAATCCAGGCTCACTAACAAATGATATATGCGGTCTTGCAGTATTTCTGATTTAAGGCACTGATATATGTGGTTGCGGAGTATTTCTCGTGTTGGATGATTGTGTGATGTGACTTATTAGGGTTCACTTCGATACCACTAATATGGGCTGTTTTTCAGTATTTCTAGTACTTTTGTGGGGGATTCACTGCATTTCTGGCTTTTTCAGTCGTTTTGACAGAGGGGGTTCAGGGACCAGTTGGAGTTACTCGCTCGCCCGGCACAGTCAGAGCAAGGGGAAGCTCATCGAGCACGCCCCATGGCCATCTTTCAATTTACTCACTTCGGTAAATTGCAACTTCCTCAGCCATGATCACGGCATTGAAGACCTTGACCATCCTTGCTCTCGCCACGTCGGCCTCTGCTGGTGGTGTTGTGAGCGTCATTGGCGACGCCGAATCCATCTGTGGCACGGATCAAGCCCAACCCGCAATTGCGTACAAGAACTCCGATGCCGCCAAGTACAAAGTGGGCCTTGCCACTGCCCGCCTCGGCCTTCGTGGCGGCTATTGTACTGGCTGGCTGTGGGGTTCGGAAGGTCATCTTATGACGAATAACCACTGCATTCGAGACGCTTCTACTGCTTCCACGGCAGTCGCTGAGTTCGACGCCGAATGCGCCACGGTCGACGACCCCAACAACAAAAAGCAACTCGGGTGCAAGGGCGTTTTCGTCTCCAACAGCTCGACGTTCATCATCACTGACGTAACTCTTGACTTCACTTTGGTCAAGTTGAACGTCAACCCTGGCATGAGCCTCACCCAGTACGGGTACTTGCAAGCCCGTGACTCCGACGTGCAGCTCGACGACGCTATCTACATCGCTGGCCACCCCAACACGTACCCTCGCCACATTTCCCATTTGAACGACGACGGCAAATTTGCCCGTATCACCAACACCTCCGTCAAAGGCTGCAGCGCCGACAATTTGGCATACAACGTGGACACGCAAGGAGGTAATTCCGGCTCGCCAATTCTTGGCCAGCGTGACAACAGGGTCGTTGCCTTGCACAACTGCGGCTCGTGTTCTCAGTTCGGTTTGGGCGCCAACACGGGTAACAAGATCACCAAGATCATCGCCTTCTTGCGTGCCAAGAACTTGCTGCCCAAGGACGCCGTGGCCGGTGGCAACTGCAAAGCTTCGACTGATTAGCGCCGTACAAGTCTGTGTCAATACGATCGTTTCAATGTTCTTCCTATTACCTTTGAATAATCAAGCAAGTAGCGTTTTGACGTTTGGGAAATTCCTGAACTTTGTCATTGTTGGCGCTAAAACGTCAAAATGACGTTATTATAATGTTTGGAGGATATATTGAGTGTTGAGTTTAGTTGGAATGCAGCGTAAAGACGTGCCATTGCGTTGGCGTATGGTGGCTGACGATGGAAATATA